GCTTTTGTTTCACTAGCTTTTGGAGATGTATCTTGAAAGAAGTTGCTGTGGCTGATGTCAAAGAGGTTACTGCCTATGTTCTCCTCAAGGATTTTGATGGATTCCTGTCTCACATTGAGGTCTTTCATCCATTTTGAATTTATTTTTGTGTATGGTCTAAGAAAGTGGTCCAGTTTCATTCTTCTGCATGTGGCTGTCCAATTTTCCCAATACCATTTGTTGAAGAGACTGTCCTTTTCCCATTGGATATCCTTTCCTGCTTTGTCGAAGATTAGTTAACCATAGAGCTGAGGGTCCATATCTGGGTTCTCTATTCTGTTCCATTGGTCTATATGTCTGTTTTTGTGCCAGTACCATGTTGTCTTGGTGATCACAGCTTTGTAATATAGCTTGAAATCGGGCAACGTGATGCCCCCAGCTTTGTTTTTCTTTTTCAACATTTCCTTGGCAATTCGGGGTCTTTTCTGATGCCTTACAAATTTTAGGATTGTTTGTTCCAGCACTTTGAAAAATGTCATTGGAATTTTAATCGGGATGGCATTGAAAGTATAGATTGCTCTGGGTAGCATAGACATTTTAACGATGTTTATTCTTCTGATCCATGAGCATGGAATATTTTTCCATCTTTTTGTGTCTTCTTCAATTTCTTTCATGAGTGTTCTGTACTTCCTAGAGAATAGATCCTTTACCTCTTTGGTTAGGTTTATTCCGAGGTACCTTATGGTTTTTGGTGCTATTGTAAATGGAATCGTTTCTCTAATTTCTCTTTCTACAGTTGCGTTGTTAGTGTATAAGAAAGCAACTGATTTCTGTGCATTGATTTTGTATCCTGCCACATTACTGAATTGCTGTGTGAGTTCTAGTAATTTGGGGGTGGAGTCTTTTGGGTTTTCCACATGAAGTATCATGTCGTCTGTGAAAAGAGAGTTTGACTTCTTCTTTGCCAATTTGAATACCTTTTATTTCTTTTTGCTGTCTGATTGCTGTTGCTAGGACTTCTAGTACTATGTTGAACAATAGTGGCGAGAGTGGGCATCCTTGACGTGTTCCTGATCTTCAGGGAAAGGCTCTCAGCTTTTCCCCATTGAGGATGATATTTGCTGTGGGTTTTTCATAGATGGATTTTATGAACTTGAGGAATGTTCCCTCTATCCCTATACTCTGAAGAGTTTTAATCAGGAAAGGATGTTGTATTTTGTCAAATGCTTTTTCTGCATCAATTGAGAGGACCATATGGTTCTTCTCCCTCCTCTTATTAATGTGTTCTATCATAGTGATTGATCTGTGAATGTTGAACCACCCTTGCATCCCAGGGGTAAATCCCACTTGGTCGTGGTGGATGATCCTTTTAATGTATTGTTGGATCCTATTAGCTAGGATTTTGTTGAGGATTTTGGAATCCATATTCATCAGGGATATTGGTCTGAAATTCTCCTTTTTGATGGGGTCTTTGCCTGGTTTGGGGATTAAGGTAATGCTGGCCTCATAGAATGAGTTTGGAAGTTTTCCTTCTGTTTCTATTTTTTGAAACAATTTCAGTAGAATAGGTATTATTTCTTCTTTGAATGTTTGATAGAATTCCCCAGGGAATCCATCAGGTCCTGGACTCTTGTTTTTTGGGAGGTTTTTGATCACTGCTTCAATCTCGTTACTGGTTATTGGCCTATTCAGGTTGTCAATTTCTTCCTGTTTCAGTCTTGGCAGCTTATAGGTTTCCCAGGAAGGCCTCCATTTCATCCAGATTGCTCAGTTTATTGGCATATAGTTGTTGATAATAATTTCTAATAATTGTTTCTATTTCCTTGGTGTTAGTCATGATCTCTCCCCTTTCATAATTTTATTAATTTGGGTCCTTTCTCTTTTCTTTTGGATAAGTCTGGCCAGTGGTTTATCAATCTTATTAATTCTTTCAAAGAACCAACTTCTAGTTTCGTTGATCTGATCTACTGTGTTTCTGGTTTCTAATTCATTGATCTCTGCTTTAATTTTAATTATTTCTCTTCTAATGCATGGCTTAGGCATCATTTGTTGCTTTTTCTCTAGTTCTTTAAGGTGTAGAGTTAGTTGGTGAATTCGGGATTTTTCTGTTTTTTTGAGTGAGGCTTGGCTGACTATGTATTTCCCCCTTAGGACCGCCTTTGCAGTATCCCATAGGTTTTGGACCGATGTGTTTTCGTTCTCATTGATTTCCATGAATTGTTTAAGTTCTTCTCTGATTTCCTGGTTGACCCAAACATTCTTGAGCAGAGTGGTCTTTAGCTTCCAAGTGTTTGAATTTCTGCCAAGTTTTTTCTTGTGATTGAGTTCCAGTTTTAAAGCACTGTGGTCTGAGAATATGCAGGGAATAATCTCAATCTTTTGGTATCCGTTGAGACCTGATTTGTGACCCAGTCTGTGGTCTATTCTGGAGAAAGTTCCATGTGCACTCGAGAAGAATGAGTATTCTGTTGTTTTAGGGTGGAATGTTCTGTAAATATCTATGAGGTCCATCTGGTCCAATGTATCATTCAAAGCTCTTGTTTCCTTGTTGATTTTCTGCTTAGATGATCTGTCCACTGCTGAGAGTGGAGTATTGAGGTCTCCTACAATTAACGTATTGTTATCAATATGACTCTTTATTTTGGTTAACAGTTGGCTTCTGTAGATGGCTGCTCCCATGTTGGGGGCATAGATATTTACAACTGTTAGATCTTCTTGTTGGATAAACCCTTTAAGAAGGATATAGTGTCCTTCTGTGTCTCTAATTACAGACTTTAGTTTAAAATCTAATTTGTCTGATATAAGAATTGCTACCCCAGCTTTCTTTTGAGGTCCACTGGCATGGAAGATGGATCTCCATCCCTTCACTTTCAGTCTGGATGTATCTTTAGGTTCAGAATGAGTCTCTCGTAGGCAGCATATGGATGGGTCCTGTCTTTTTATCCAATCTGCAACCCTGTGCCGTTTTATGGGAGCATTTAGGCCATTCACGTTGAGAGTGATTATTGAAAGATATGAATTAATTGTCATCATGTTGCCTGTGAAGACGTTGTTTTTATAGATTGTCCCTGTAAATTGCTGTTGTATATCACTCTTGGGGTCTTTCTCCTTTTATAGAACCCCCCTCAATATTTCTTGCAGGGCCGGCTTAGTGGTCACATATTCTTTCAGTTTCTGCCGGTTGTGGAAGGTCTGCATCTCTCCATCCATTCTAAAGGAAAGCCTTGCTGGATAAAGTATTCTTGGTTGCATGTTCTTCTCATTTAGTACCCTGAATATGTCTTGCCAGGCCTTTCTGGCTTGCCAGGTCTCTGTGGATAGGTCTGACGTTATTCTGATGTTCCTCCTTCTGTACGTAAGGAATCTCTTCCCCCTAACTGCCCTTAAGATGGTTTCCTTGGTCCTAAGATTTGCAAGTTTTACTATTACATGCCGGGGTGTTGGCCTGTTTTCCTTGATCTTGGGAGGGGTCCTCTCTGCCTGTAGGATGTGAATATTTGTTTCATTCCCCAGATTAGGGAAGTTCTCAGCTACGATTTGCTCAAATACATCTTCTAGTCCTCTCTCTCTCTCCACTCCCTCTGGGATTCCAATTATTCTGACATTGGAATGCTTCATGGTGTCACTTATTTCTCTGATTCTATTTTCATGGATTCTGAGTTGTTTTTCCCTGGCCTCCTCTTTTCCCTTTTTATCTATTATATTGTCTTCCAGGTCACTTATTTGTTCTTCTGCCTCAGTTACCCTAGCTGTTAGATTATATAGATTGGATTGGATCTCATTGATAGCATTTTTAAGTTCTGCAAATTCAACTTTTATTTCTGCCCCTACAGACTCTATGTTGCCATTAATTGATTCCTCCATTCTAGCCATTGTCTTCACAATTGCTAGCCTGAATTCCATCTCCGACATCTTGGTTATATCTGCATCCATTTGTAAATCTGCAGCATAAGTCATAATCTCTGAATCTTTCCTATTTTGGAGGCTCCTCCTCCTAGTCATTCTGTTGATGGGTGTTTGAGGGAATGTATAGAGTCCAAATTATTGACCAGAACCCAAGCAAGATGCACCTGTTTTCTTGGGACCTTAGGGTTGCTGGCCTCTTGTTTTCCCAGCCTGTCTTCTGTGGGAGGGGCCTGCTGCGCTGTTACTCAGGCAACCCTGTTTGGGCGGAGTTGCCCTGCACCCCTGTGGTGGGTAATGGGCTCAGCGGGAATCAGTTTTGGGGGCTTTTGTTCTCTGGCGCCTTTCCCTGGCGGCTTTCCATGTCTCTTCTGTGAGTCAGGGCAGAAGAGACCATTTCCAACCCTCTGCCTCAGAGCAGAGAGACCTCAGTCTGTTCTTCAGTGGGCTCTCCAGGCCACACTGTCTCCGTTTCTGTCCGTGCTGCTATAAACTGCAGCGTCCTGGGTTGTGCACCCCTCCAAAGCACTCCCAGTCCTGCCTCCAGGTCGGGGCACCTCTCTGCCGTTTGTGCTTCTAAAACCGCCAGCCACTCCCAGTTCACGCGCATGACCCTGCCGCTCTGGGTTTCCAACCCAGGGGCTGCAGTTCGGAGGCGTGACCCCACCGCTCTGGGTTCCTGCCCCGGGGGCTGCCCTAAAGTCCTTTCCCCGCCGCTACCGGTCTGCGAGTCTGTGCCCGTCCGCAGCGCACGAGGCTGTCGCTCACCGGCGGTGTAGGATCCCCACGTCCAGGCACCCTCCCGCTGCCATTTATCCTCTGATATCTGCCCGCGGAATCACGGCTCCCCGCTTTGTACCTCGAAACCAGCCACCTGCGATATTCTATTTGTAGAGATCCAGATCTTCTTACATCTCAGGCTGGTTTTGTGGGTGCTCAGAGTGGTCTGGTAGATATCCAGCTCAATTCCGGGGACCAGTTGAAATAGGGTCCCCTACTCCTCCTCCATCTTTCCTCTCCCCCTGTGACATCTCTTTTAAACAGACATGAAGCATTTTTTTTTCTCCCTTTCTTTGCCAGGGCAATCCTGAAAGTGTGCCCATGGAAGGAGATCATGGTCATCTCCTAGGTCCTTGCCCTAAGTGGCATGGAGGGTCCTTCTCAAACACTCTTCCATGCAGGGCCATAACTAAGACAGGCAGAGAGGCTCCGCTCCGGCTCCTCAGACGTCTATCTCTTGAAATCTGATCAAAGAAAGCAAAGGCTGAACTCCAATGCAGAGCTTCGGTTTCCAGCCCAGAGGCCCTTCTCTGACAACCTTACTCTAAAGTAGTAACAGGCACACAGGATTTGGTGTCAGAAGACCCATGTGTCAGATCTAAAGTTCGAATAGGAGAGAGATTTAGGTGAAAGGGCATAAGTAAACTATGGCAGAGGCGGTTAAAAAAGATGATGTATAAAAAAAAATCTTTTAACTCATGATAATAGTATCATTATTGCTCTCATTATAACAACTTCTTAAAATAACATACCCATGAAACAAGTTGTAGATGCATTATTTAATGTATTTAACTTGGGCCTTCTACACCATGCAAATAAAGAGAATATTTGTTGCCATCATCCACAATCAATACTTCTTTTTTTAGTTCTCCATAACCCTCCTGTTGCCTTGGATCGCAACATCACATTTATGTAGAAAAATGAACCCCAAATTTCCCATCACAGCCTAAAGATGTCTAAAACCACAACTCCCTTCCATATTATAGGTTCCCCTTGTCTTTAAAGTTTTGCCATATAATGTGAGCCACAACATTGCAATCCTTTGTCATAATTTCAAAGATTTAATGATGCCAGTCTACCCTATCTGCTCAAAGAAATTTATCATTCATGATGCCAGTCTACCCCATCTGCTCAAAGAAACTTATCATCCTGAATTCCTCCTACCTCATAATGTCTCTCAGGAGCAAGTTGACTTCCACTGAGAATGATCTGTGGGAAAACATAATGTGTTGCAAATGTGCCACTAAGGGAAAATTCTTCAAACCTGGTAAAAGCTGACCCCACAGGCTCCCCACAAGTTCTCAGGTCAGTGGTTTGACACTTCAGTAATGTGCATATCTATGGAGGCAAAGGAGAGACAGAGGTGGTCAGAAATCTTGGAAATATTTTCTCCACAAGAGACACAATCTCAAGGAATAGAGGAAAATTTGTTAGGTTGTATCTGTCAGGGAGAAAGAATTTCCTGTCCCCTTCATGGTCCTTCTATCCAGACTAAGAACTGAGTTGACATGAGACAGATTAACAGGAGAAAGTCAAATTTAATTTTGTGCTTACGGGGAATCCACACAGACACGGAAATTCCAAAGGCAGTCAGGCCAAATGAGGTACATATGTCATTCTGAAGTAAGGAGAAAGGCTTAGGGGTCTGGGACTTGAAAGAGAAAGAATGCGATTCACAGGAAGATGGAAAAGAATAAAACATTTGGTAAACAAATGTTTGCTGAGCCACTCAGAAACAAAAGACATAGACAACTTTGTTCAAATAGGCCTTGTGGGGTTCCTCCCTGTCTGCCACTCCCACTTCATGTCATGACATAGTTTTCTATGGTGATAGATCTCCTCCTGGAGCAGATCCTCTATCTCAATTCTTTTTAGGCAGTTGTGCGGGAAGTAAGGAGGTTTTTCTGAATTTGCTAGCTTTTGATTGCTTTTTATCTCACAATAATCTTCATGCCAAAGTGGCTCATCTTGGGGTGGCCTGCCCTTGTTCCCTACACCACTGAAGCAGAGTCTTTTCAAACTACAGGTCATTAGTGAATCCTAAAATCAATTCAAGGGTCAAGATTAAGTCTTTTTTTTTTTTTTAATAAAGTGAAAAGCAATAAACTAGGTTTTAAAAGTCAGAGTGCCATTGCTCATAATTAGAGCTATTTCTTTTTTTTATTTTATTACTTTTTAAAGACTTTATTTATTTATGCCAGAGAGAGAGAGAGCACAAAGCAGGGGGAGCAGCAGGCAGAGGGAGAAGCAGACTCTCCACTGAGCAGGGAGCCCGATGCGGGGCTCCATCCCAGGACCCTGGGATCATGACCTGAGCAGACGCTTAACCGACTGAGCCACCCGGGCATCCCTAGAGTTATTTCTGATGAAGGATAGTTGGAAGGAAGGCAGGCAGGGAGAAGGGCCCCACCCTAAGAGGAAACCACACTTAAGAGGATTTTACACTGGAAGGAGCCCTCCACCCTTTCTCATGTGACAAAAACCTGATTGCATGACAGGTGCAGGGAGGGTTAATCAGATTAAAACAGCCCACCAACAATCCTATAAAAACGCCTAGACTTAGAAACACCGGTGGCAACCCTTTCGGGTCCCCTCCCTCCTCTGGAGCTTTGTACAATCACTTTGCTATCCCTCAATAAACCTTGCTTTGCTGCCCATCACTCTGTCTGGTCTACCTCTTCTTCATTCTTCAAAGCAGCATGACCAAGAACCCCGGGCACCGATGGAAAAAAATCCTGTAACATTTCTAATTCTAATTTGAATTGATTAACAAAATATTTGTTTAAAGCAAATCTATTATAATTCAGTCACACATCTTGACTGCACTGCATTGTGATGGGAAATGATGTTCTTATTCTGGATGCCAATTGAAGGCAGTCTGGAACACACAGCTCTAAAGCCAACTGACATAAAACGAGAATGCAAGGAAGTTGCAGCTTTTTAAACTTGAATCTGGCTGGCCGAGAACGAATCAATCTGCTTTATGTTTTACTTTGCCGCCAAGAGAAGTAATTCTGTTCTTGCTAAAACTAAACAAATAAAGCATTCTGTGGGGGAAACTTTAGTAATCAATGTTAGCACTATACCAATTAATTGAATCCAGCACAATTTTTAAAGAAATGCAGTGATGGTCTAGTAAAATTAAAAAAAAAAAAAAAAAAAAAACTAACCAAAAAATCCATTCTAACACACGGAAGCAATTTTTACCTGTAAGTAATATTGACCTTCTACTGTGTGCAGTCCATCAAAACCACCTAGTGCATACATCTCATCTGTTTGCTTCTCAGACATCTTGTAAGTTAAGTGACAACACAGGTCTTTCTGGCAAACTGTGTAATTTCCCGTGTTTCTCTTAAGCTCAATGAAGGTGCGCTCATCAAAATAAATCATTCCCAGAAAATTTGACTGCTCAGACAAGAATGGCTTGATGCTTCTGGCATGAGCACTCCAGTCAACAGCTACAGGGTAGCTGGGTTCACTATGGGGCCGGGAGTTCAATTCTGAGAGCATCAGTTGGCCACTCTCTGTTTCCATGTCATAGTGATACCCTTGGACAGCTTCCGGTGTGTAGAATCCACTCCCTACAGAAGTGGACACAAAGTCACACAAATATTGGTTCCAAATTTTGCATGGTCTCAAACCAACGGAATCATTCCCATGAGAAACTAGATACAACTTTATCAAAGCATAAGCACTTTCAGGATAATCAAGGAGATAGCTTGTTGCACTGACATAGTTCCAATCTGACTCCGTGTCCTCCATAATTATTTGAAATTATCAATTGACTTGGGCGGCTTCTCTTTTTTATGTAAACTACCCCCTTTTAAGCCAACTTAACAACAACTAGATAATTCCCCTATCTAATTTATTTGTGTTTAAGTTTCTTCATCTGGATCAATGAATAACCAAGCAGTTAAGAGGGGAGCCTGCATTACCTTGAACATGGATGCTACGAAGGATAAATTCTAAAGACCTGCTTAAGTTTAAATTGATTTTATCACCTCAACAAGATTTATTTCAATACGACTAATGGATGCTGGCTGAAAAGTTCTTTAGAGCTGGCCTTGGTTTTTTTGTGTTGTTTTGTTTTGTTTTGTTTATGTGACTTGACTTTCCTTTAACTCCAATTTTCCCTCATATGAAATTGAGATAATAATGTTTACCTCCTTCTGTACTCATAGGGATAATGTTCCTTAAATAATGTTGGTACAGAAAGCCACGCTATCATTAATTTTGTGACATTAGAGTTAATAAAAGAATTATTAAAGAAAAATGTGGCTTGAAAAGCAATGAAGACTTCCTGAGACTGTCATGGCCAGTTGGTGCAGGACAGGTGTGAGTTACCTGTCATGTGCGTGCCAGTGTTGTGGGTATTCGCAGCAAGCAGGTTGACTCTCATGGCTCTGGCCCATGCGGAGTGGAAGGGAACAGCCAAGAGAAGGGGCAGTGTGTTGTACCACGCCACGGGGTAGAGAACGCTGTCAACATGAAGATCATCCACCACCACGATGGCCGGGTCATGAGAAAAAAATGTCAAAGCAAGTGAAAATGCCAAACTTCCCAAAGGGAGTGTCAAAAGTCACAAATTCTGGATCCTTGGGGAAATCAAATTGAATTTCGGGTGCAAAAAGATTGTACTGTCAACAAAAAGCAAAGAAGGGGAAAATAAGTAAGAAAACTGCCAAATAGAGGTGCCCCATATCCATAAAATTTTTCCCCTCCATGCTGATGTGCATATTTAAAACAATTACACATAAATTTGTATAAATCACACCCACTATGAGTTTTATTACCATGACGTTAATCAAAAAACTTCAGTTTTCCGCAACTAACGAATGAAATCATACCTACAAATGATTTTCAGAAAGTGCATATTTCTGTCTTAATATCACAGGTTGAAATTTTGAACCTTATAAATTTCAGGCTTTTTATCACTTTTGTTCTTTAAATACCAACAGCACTGCCAGTGTGACGTCTAATAAAATTAACTTTGCCATATCTCCCTACAATACTGGTGGGTTTATATAACTGAAGTACATTTAAAGTGAATTTTGACAATGTAATAGCTAAACCTTATTAATCAGTAAGCCATTCATGATTTTTCCAGCTTGATTATTCTCCCAAACTCCACTTTGCCTGGGTTCAGGAGTACTTGCTCAGGTTTAGATTAGGCTCGGTGTGTACATATATGTGTTCTGGACATACTCCTTCCCCTTCAGTGAGGATTACTGACTCCTCCCCCCTCCACTCAGGTGGTAGCTTATCCTTCCTCCTGCAGTGATCAGCTTAAGGAAGGCATGCAGCCTAACTGGAGTCAAAGCATGATGAGGCTTTTGCAGGTGTTCTAGGAGTAAGACATACACTCTTCCTCTGGATTTTGCTGCTATAGAACGCTATAGGATGTAAGGTTTGTGTTGGGCACTATGTGGCCTCTAAAAGGACAGCCTGAGTAAAAGCTGGAGCAAGGGCTAAGAGAGCTAGAAGAATGGCTGACATCTTTAAAGCCTCTGAGGGATAGACCACATCTGAAACTATTTCCTATGATTTATAGTTTTTCAGATACATAAGGAAATTCCATGGGGTGTTTTCAAGTAAATTTCATGTGGGGTTTTCTATTGTTGCAATCAAAACTGTCCTAATAGGGGTACCTGGCTGGCTCAGTTGGTAGAGCATACGGCTCTTGATCTCTGCATCATGAGGTCAAGCCCCACGTTGGGCATAGAGCTTACTTGAATTAAAAAAGAAAAGAAAAGAAACAAGTCCTAACGGAATGAATGACTGACCAAAGCTTCGTATAAAATGTTAACAAATTGAGCCAGAAAACTAACCCTGGTATTAAATCATGGATGAAACAGCATGTCACCCTCTTTCTCAGAGACTATTAAAATCCTTGTGAGACTATTATACCACTGTTTCAATATTCTGCCATATTCTATTTTATGATTAATTCAAACTCAGGACCCTTATATGAGACCAAAGTAAATGAAAGCCCCTGTTCAACTAAAACATAATAATTAAGAAATGCATTCATTGCGATTGTCTCACCCACATTCAACAGATGAGTCTACACCCATACCACAGACAAACAAAAGAAATTCTCACCTTATGATAGCGTGCCACCACTTTTCCCTGAGAATCAAACACCACATCGGTGTTGTACTGGTAACGACCATCAGGGGGACACTGAGGGTCACTGGCATTGCATGACTTCTTGTCCCCAATATTTGCCACAATGGAGATAGAATTGTCCTTGGTCAGGCAGCTGAGGCTTTCTTGCACCAGGGTGTAGCCAAACCTAATTTAATAGATATTGCCTTAAACTTACTATACTTCAGTGATGCCTAATCTTCCAAAATGATACTTAATTTGCCCGTTAGTTAGAACACAAGCTCTAGGTTAAGAATCAAATCAGAGAAGACCTAAAATTTCACAAGCAATATAATCTTCATCTTTATGAAAACTAATCTTTTATTTTGTTTATTTTTTATTGAAGTATAACTGACACACAATATTACAGCAGTTTTAGGTGTAAAAAAATAACATAATGATTGGACTCTATACATTATGCTGTGCTCACCACAAGGGCAGTTACATCTGTCACCATACAACTCTATCACAATACCATTAACTATATTCCTTATGCTGTGCCTTTTATTCCATGACTTATTCATTCCATAACTGGAAGGCTGTACCTCCCGCTCTCCTTCACCCAATTTGCCCAGCCCCCCAACTCCCCTGAAAGCTAATCTATTTTAATGTGCCAGATTCTCAACTGCAGTGTGAGACTGAAGCACAGAAAAGAAGGTGGAGGAAGAGGAGAAAGAAGAGAAGCAAAGCTTTCTCTCATAAAGTGCTTCCAGGCAATTAAATGAAGGACTTGAAATATAACACGTTCTTCTTCTTCTTTTTTTTTAAGATTTTATTTATTTATTTGAGAGAGAGAGAGAGCAGGGGGAGGGGCAGAAGGAGAGGGAGAGAGAGAATCTCCAGCAGACTCCCCGCTGAGCACAGAGCCCAACTCAGGGCTCAATCCCACAACCCCAAGATGATGACCTGAGTGGAAACCAAGAGACAGATGCTCAACTGACTGAACCACCCAGGCACCCAACACACTCTTCTAATGAGGAGGACCTTTCTATAATTCAAGCCATAGTCTTACTAGGAAGCAATAAATAGTTGGTTCTATGTCAATCATCTTCTATAGAGAACAAAGGTGACATTATGTACTTGAAATATTTCAGGAAAGAAGGAATGGAGGGGGGGGAGAGAGGGAGGGAGGTAAAAGAGAGGGAGAAAAGGGCTTCACTATGCTGGCTCAGTTTCCTCATCTGTCAGTACAACATAATAGCTTCCTTCCTGCCTTAGAGGGTGCTCATGAGAAATTCATAATCTTAAATTCATATCTTTCAATAGTTACCCTGAATGTAAATGGGCTAAATGCCCCAATCAAAAGACACAGGGTATCAGATTGGATAAAGAACCAAGACCTATCGATATGCTGTCTGCAAAAGACTCATTTTAGACCCAAAGACACTCCCAGATTGAAAGTGAGGGGGTGAAAAACCATTTATCATGCTAATGGACACCAAAAGAAAGCTGGGGTGGCAATCCTTATATCAGACAAATTAGATTTTAAACCAAAGACTATAATAAGAGATGAGGAAGGACACTATTTCATATTTAAAGGGTCTATCCAACAAGAAATCTAACAATTGTAAATATCTATGCCCCTAACATGGGAACAGCCAATTATATAAGCCAGTTAATAACAAAAGCAAAGAAACACATCGACAACAATACAATAATAGTGGGGGACTTTAACACCCCCCTCACTGAAATGGACAGATCGTCTAAGCAAAAGATCAACAAGGAAATAAGGACTTTAAATGACACACTGGACCAAATGGACTTCACAGATATATTCAGAACATTCCATCCCAAAGCAACAGAATACACATTCTTCTCTAGTGCCCATGGAACATTCTCCAGAATAGATCACATCCTAGGTCACAAATCAGGTCTCAACCAGTACCAAAAGATTGGGATCATTCCGTGCATATTTTCAGACCACAATGCTTTGAAACTAGAACTCAATCACAAGAGGAAAGTCGGAAAGAACCCAAATACATGGAGGCTAAAGAGCATAAAGAATGAATGGGTCAACCAGGAAATTAAAGAAGAATTTAAAAAACTCATGGAAACAAATGAACAAGAAAACACAACTGTTCAAAATCTTTGGGATGCAGCAAAGGCAGTCCTATGAGGAAAGTATATAGCAATACAAGCCTTTCTCAAGAAACAAGAAAGGTCTCAAACACACAACCTAACCCTACACATAAAGGAGCTGGAGAAAGAACAGCAAATAAAGCCTAAACCCAGCAGGAGAAGAGAAATAATAAAGATCAGAGCAGAGATCAATGAAATAGAAACCAAAAGAAGAGTAGAACAGATCAATGAAACTAGGAGCTGGTTCTTTGAAAGAATTAGTAAGATTGATAAACCCATGGCCAGACTTATCAAAAAGAAGAGAAAGGACCCAAACAAATAAAGTCATGAATGAAAGAGGAGAGATCACAACCAACACCAAATAAGAACATATTATGAGCAACTCTATGCCAGCAAATTAGATAATCTGGAAGAAATGGATGCATTCCTAGAGGTGTATAAACTACCAAAACTGAACCAGAAAGAAATAGAAAACCTGAGCAGACCTATAACCACTAAGAAATTGAAGCAGTCATCAAAAATCTCCCAAGAAACAAAAGCCCAGGGCCAGATGGCTTCCCAGGGGAATTCTACCAAACATTTAAAGAAGAATTAATACCTATTCTTCTGAAACTGTTCCAAAAAATAGAAATGGAAGGAAAACTTCCAAACTCATTTTATGAGGCCACCATTACCTTGATCTTCAACAAAGCAGGAAAGAATGTCCAATGGAAAAAAGACAGTCTCTTCAACAAATGGTGTTGGGAAAATTGGACAGCTCCTCTACAGTTGATGTTGAGCTAATCTTTGAATAGAAAGGACAGATTTATGACTATTGCTGCAAAGCATTTCTTTTTCCTTCCCCCTCAGGAAAAACAGGGCAATATTGTTAACATTGCTATTCATTAAGACCTTCAATAAAACTATCACATATTTTCTTTTCTTTGTCTTTTTCTTTTTCCTTCTTCCTTCCTTCCCTCCTTCCTTCCTTCCCTCCTTCCTTTCTTTCTTTCTTTTTGATAAATAATTAAGTATTTTAATATCTTCTGTTAGTCCCTCATGGGTAAAGCTCAGACGTGTCAGTATTCTAAATGATAGTATTTAAATACACAGGGATGGCCATGTGGCCCTCTATTATCTCCCTTAGAGATAAATATTAGTAGGGAAGAAATGGTGGCTTTTTTTTTTAACCAATATTACCATTATATTAAATATTGGATTTCTTCTCTTATAACTCAGAGCTGAAAGCTTACCATTTGAATAAATGTCTGCAAGACTCGAATAAGTTAAAGTTTCATTGGTCACCTACCTTCCCAACTTAAAATAATTCATCTGAGATTAATTATCGGGCTTTGGGACATCTTTCCCCTAGGAACATCAGCTTTATCAGCCCAGGCAAACAGTGTGAATTTTAGTGTCAGCCTCTTGAATCATTGCAAATAATGAGTCCTTCCTGCTCTGGAAAAAAAACCCATAATCAAGTAAACATTGGATTATAGTTGTGTGGTTACTGTAAACACAGACCATGCAACACTCAGAGAATATTTTTTCAAAGGTGAAAATCCTGGGCGAGACTGACTCACATAGTAGAGCTCCTACGTTGCAGCATCGGACTTGACTGCTTTTTGGGAAAAGCTGACATTGTTTAAGTTCTTCTACAACCTGGATTTCAGATCTCAGTTAATGGCTTTTAGTTCTCTAATTTTTCAGGCCAAAGCCCTTGGAGTTATACTTACTTTTCTCTTTGTCTCTCCCTCCACACATGTTCAATCGGGAGACCTTTTGCTACCACAATCCTGGTCCAAGCCACCATCATCTCTGGCCTGGATTATTCCAATACCCTCCTACCTGGTTTTGGTACCACTACTTCTGCTTTTGCTCAACAGGAATCAGAATGATCCTATTAAAATATCAAACTGTGTCACTACTCTGCTCAAAATCTTTCAATGGCATCCCACTTCACTCAGAGTAAAAAGCCAAGTTCTTGCAACGCCTAGAAGCCTCACTATGATCCAGCCTCCTGTTACTTCTAACATCAACTCCTAGTAATTTCCCCCACGTTCATGTGGCTCCAGTTGTGTTGGTTTCCTTAGTGTTCTTCAAGCATATCCCCAGGGGCTATTCTGCCATCAGTATCCTGAGGAAAATTGTCTCCTATCTGGCCAACCTGCATTTAGAATTTCCCTTTCTACTCCCATCTACTCTATCTTCCAAACAACTATCAAAGTTGTTTTTTAAAACTCTTTGATTCATCATATTATCCTCTAAAATCCTTCAATGCATCTTTTTGTTAGTTTCAGGATAACGTCTAGACTTCCTTTGTGCTTCAATGATCTGGCCCTTGCCTCCTATTTTTATTGTTTCTCCTTCCTCTTCCTCCTTTACTCTTCTCCTCCCCACACCCCCTCCAATATGTTGTACTCTTTTTATAGCATGCTATTCTTCCATGTCTTTGTACGCATGACGAAGTCTACCTAGAATGCCCTGACTGATTTACCCAGCTGGCCCTTCACATCTTTGTCTTCCGAGGTAAAATGGACCCATTCCTGGCCCTTATATTGATCACAGCATTATCATTCTATGACTTTTATTACAGTGTTAAATGAGATGCTTGAAAATGCTTAGCACAGTGTGAGGCATTTTCTAAGTGTTCAAATTTGGATTACTATGGTAATGAATGATGGCACTGATAGTGATGCTCTGTCTTCTAGACTGTGATCCTGAAGAAACAGAACTTTTGTGCTATTCATTATCACCATCCAGCACGAGGCCCCCTGACATATAGTAGGCATCCAAGAAGTTCTTTGACTTAAGATCAAAGAGACATATACAGGATGTTCAGAGAAACTTTATTTATAATAGGAATTAATAGTAATAATAATTGTAATAAATAAATAACCAAAAATTAGAAAACCTAAGCATCTGTTGAATAGGCTAAACCACAGAAAAAGGTCCAAGGACAAAGACCGTTGAAAACAATGATTCAGAATCAGCTAATGTTGCTTCTTGGTTCAGCTCGTTCCTAAGAAATCATATAAACACCTGCTTGCATGTGGCCACAAAGCCTGTGTTCTCACAGATGTGCATCCAAAGT